CCTGCTGCGTTCATCCAGTTTCTACACCTTGTTATCTCAGATTCTCCAGCATCGGCAGTTCCTACTATCTCTGTTTAATCCATTCCTTATTTTTAGATATTGCACAACATTGCACATTAAAATGCATTATGTTACTCATCTCTATCACTTAAAGCATTTGATTACCTTCCAACATGCAGGGCAACAGTGCCTAGTATATGCACAATCAGGAAAAATACAGACAAATGTACTTTGGATTATGAGAGGCATAGGTGGAAGGGTATAGGGAAGATAGCTTTCCCCTTGGTGGTGTGACCAATGAGAGAGGGTAAAGATTCAAGTTAAGGGGCAGGATGTTTAGAGGGGATGTGAGGAAAAGTCTTTTTACCCTGAGTGTGGTGAGAATCTGGAAGTCACTGCCAGTAAGGGCGTCAGAGGCAGAAACTCTTTAAGAAGCATATAGATGTGCACTTGTGATGCCAGAGCATATAAGGCTATGGGCCAAGTACTGGAAAATGGCATGAGAATAGTTAGATGGTTGTTTTTGACTGCTGCAGACTTGATTGAGCAGAGGGCCTTTTCTGTGCTGTAGCTCTCTATAAGCATTTTGTAGGAGTTTTGAGTGTATAGTTGTTGAGATGTACATGTTTTGTAATTCTACCATTCTATTTGTTACGATTTTTAAAAATTATTTTCAAGTTTGTACTAGTTGCTTGAAAGTATAATTGGAAACTAAAAATAGTCTAGAGCAATGAACCTTGCCCATCAACACTGAGTTGATATTCAGGTGAACTGGAAAATTGATATAGCACAAGTGGTGGTGCTCCATGCCTTCCTTGCAATGGTAGTTTTTGAATGGAAAGTTGAAAGAATGTGCTATTTTCTTACAGCCATAATCCAAATACTTTACTTAGATCCGTAAATCAGCAGTTCTCCTTAAATGTATTTCAATATACTTGTTAGGCCTCTAGCATCAGTGCCAGTATCCTGATGATCTGGGAATTTGTCGTTCAGAGTCCCCATTTCTTCCAGCCTGTGGTCCGAGAAAATCTCAACTTCTCCTATGGAACCTTGGACAGGAAATTCAACCCTATTATTCCATATTGTAACTCTGTTATAACAATCTGTTGTGCTAGTAGACCCCTTCTCAGTATTTTACAAAATCCAGTCATTTTAATTGATCTAAATTACTGTAATCATTACCTTACTATGGAATGAAGATTTGAATCAAACTGTACTTCGTGTTAATTCGCCTTTCCTTTAGAGAGAGTCACATTATACATATGTGAAAGATAGCAATGTTAAAAGGATGCTACTTTTACATCAGTTTGAGATTGGCTGAGTCAATATAAGACAATTTTCATAATGTTAAGCTGCACAGATCATTTATGGGATTAACTGGCATAACTCAACCCAAAATGAGTGCACAAAACACTCAAATTTTTTCTATCGTTACAGTTATGAGATTCATAATATTTGCGACTGTGTCTTTGAATTTGGAATAAATTAAGTTCTTCATGTAATTGCTCCTGGCTTCTAAATGACAGTAAGATTGAATGGTTTGATGGCTAGAGATCAAAAGGAAACTCAATTTTTTTTTACTGGAGGGAAGGTGCAAGTTATTTATACTAGCAGACAATGACCACAGTTTTTGATTATGCCCAAAGTCCTGAAAAGTGTTATAGTTTTCAAGTGGTACTGTAACCTAACCTGTAACCAAGCAGAGGCTTGGGGACCACTTTGCAGAACACCTACGCTCGGTTCGCACTAAACAACTGCACCTCCCAGTTGTGAACCATTTCAACTCTCCCTCCCATTCCGCAGACGACGTCCATCCTGGGCCTCCTGCAGTGCCACAACGATGCTTACCCGAAGGTTGCAGGAACAGCAACTCATATTCTGCTTGGGAACCCTGCAGCCGAATGTTATCAATGTGGACTTCACAAGCTTCAAAATCTTCCCTCCCCCTACCGCATCCCAAAACCAGCCCAGTTCGTCCCCGCCTCCCTAACCTGTCCTTCCTCCCACCTATCCCCACCCCCATCTCCTACCTACTAACCTCATCCCGCCCCCTTGACCTGTCCATCCTCCCTGGACTGACCTATCTCCTCCCTACCTCCTTTTCTGGCTCCATCCCCACTTCTTTGACCGGTCTGTCTCCTCTCCACCTATCTTCTCTATCTATCTTCTATCCGCCTCCCCCTCTCTCCCTATTTATTTCAGAACCCCCTTCCCCTCCCCCATTTCTGAAGAAGGGTCTAGGCCCGAAACGTCAGCCTTCCTGTCCTCTGATGCTGCTTGGCCTGCTGTGTTAACATAGAACATAGAACAGTACAGCACAGTACAGGCCCTTCGGCCCACGATGTTGTGCCGAACCTTTACCCTAATCCTAAGGTCTATCTAACCTCCACCCCTACCTTATACTATCATCCATATGCCTATCTAATAGCCGCTTAAATGCCCCTAATGAGGCCGACTCCACTACCCTCTCCGGCAATGCATTCCACGACCCAACCACTCTCTGAGTAAAGAACCTACCTCTGACGTCTCCCCTATATCTACCTCCACTCACTTTAAAACTATGCCCCCCTGTAATAGCTACCTCCACCCTCGGAAAAAGTCTCTGGCTGTCCATTCTATCTATACCTCTGATCATTTTGTACACCTCTATCAAATCACCTCTCATCCTTCGTCGTTCCAAAGGGAAAAGGCCTAGCTCTCTCAACCTTTCCTCGTAAGACCTTCCCTTCATCCAGCTCTACACCTTGTTATCTCACTGTAACCTATCTGTTTACTTCAGTTAGCTCAGTTGGCTGGCCAGCTGGTTTGCAATTCAAATCTTTATTCCAAAGTAAGGTAATGATTACAGTAATTTAGATCAATTAAAATGACTTGATTTTGTAAAATACTGAGAGGGGGTCTACTGGTACAACAGATTGTCATTGCAGTGTTACAATGCCAATAGCACAGGTTCCATTACCACACTGGCTGAGGTTATCGTGAAGGTCCTGCTGTCTCAAACCCGTCCTTCATCTGAGGCATGGTAACGGGTTAAACCCACCACCAGTCGTCTTCCTCTAATGAGAGAGCACACCTGTGATCCTCTGGGACTGTGGCGACCTTCCTTACTTTACTTTGAAGAGGATGGGGAGTCAGGATCAAAGATAACTAATTAACATTTCTACTTGGGCACAGAACTAGCGTGCTTCTCATTGTCATGGAAAAGGGTAGATGCAACTGTTTTTGAGATAGGCTTCTTTATGAGCCCAGAAATATCTCTCATAGCATTTTGCAGTTTTGTCTTGCATGATTTGCAGCCACCTGAGAGGTGGAGAGAATCCGATAAATTGTGGGTTCATCTGTCTAGGTGGCGAAAATGCTGACTTTATCATTCATGCACAAAATGCTTGTACTCAGATTGGAGACTGAGTTTGTGGAAAACGTAAAGGAGTCTGAAAAAATTGCCTAAATTGAAGCTAGAGGAAGGGATCTACTGTGTAACTCACCTAGTACAAGGCAGTTCAGGATTAGAAGTTACCTAGCTAGGAAATTAAAAAGGAAGCAAGCCATCCAGAAGCTGATCATAGCTTTAGCCCGATTCTGGGTGGATGAATTACCCATTTATGGTTACATGTGACACTACCCCTTAAAAGGTTTGATTTGATATTATTTTTCTGTCATTTGTTACAGTAAAAGCTTTGATGTAATAAATCTTGACATTCCATATTTTCAGCTGCCTTCTGGCAATTAACTGGAAGTTCAAATTTCTTTTTACAAGTTATCTGCCTCTATGGGGATTGTCACACCATCAAACCTGCCTTTTGAAAAGTACACATTTGCCCCTTGTTTCAGGAAGTATTGTCTAGATGCTCAGGGTGACCAAATGTACATGACCGAATCTCTGAAATTTAACCTCTGGAAAGAACAATGGCTTTTCTACATTGCTTCGGTTTCATCATACATCTCGTATAGCAGAATATTTAAGCTCCCTTGTAATTTCCAGATTGCTACCTAAGCACTTCATGTTTCTCATTCTACCTGGTGTGTCTGCTTTCTGCATATCTAAAATATGACTATAATGTGGAGATTTCTATGGGAATTAAATTGTACAAAATTTGAATCTGGGTTTGAATCCCAACCATGGCAGATGGTGGAATTTGAATTCAATAAACATCTGAAATGAAGGATCTAATGATGACAATGAAACCACTGTCGATTGTCAGAAAAACCCATCTACGTCACTAATGTCCTTTAGGGAAGAAAACTGCCATCCTTAACTACGTGTGACTCCAGACCCACAGCAATGTGGTTGACTTTTGATCATCCTCTGGGCAGTTAGAGATGGGCAATAAATGCTGACTTGGCCAGTGACACCCACATCCCATGAATGAGCAAAAAAAAAAAAATTGGGAATGCACTCTTGCTAGAAAATTTGATTTGGAATGCTTGAAGCTGGAAATAGTTTGTCAATATGATTAAGGAGACTTGATTAAATGGCTGTCACAACTGACTACAGTGAGAATGAGAACTTACGGGAATTCAAAAAAGAACACCGTGCAAGTGAAAGGAAGGCCAGTCATGAATTACTTGTTGCCTTTACTGGGATTACCGTTCGACTTGAATGATAGTTACAATGTTCTATTACAGTATTACAGTTTCCACTGGTTTTCTTTCATGTAAAAAGTATTTCCTCTCCATATAGTTAAGCATTATACTGAAGGAACAATATCTTCCTGTTTATTTGTCCAGAATCTGACTTTTTTTTTATTTTCCTTTCCTCCAACGGCAGTATGTGCTGTTGCAGTCAGAAACTGTTTGGAATGTCAGCAAGTATGTCGAACAAAATCTGGTGCTGATAATGTGAAAACTCAAAAAACAATGCAGAGCCTCCTTGGAAGTGGAAAGTTAACAGCCAAGGCAAGTGTGAGATTTGTATGCGGAATACTGACCCAGGAAGGTAGAATTCTATTTTAACTGATTTTCTAGACGACTATTGTGGTTGATACATTTTTTCACACGTTAATTTCTCAGCAGACAATTTCAAAATGTAATGGCATAGCATTGTATGCACCATCAGTAGGCATAATTCAATTGCATAGATTTCTGAAATGGTTGAAAAAATGATGAACAATAAACTACATTGGGTGTATGATACGAGCAGCATCATTTCTAGGTCCACTGAAGATTATTGGTTTTCATCCAGTGCCACACTCTAGTTTAGGAGATGCACAAGGGGCTTAGGTTGAGAGTTTGCTGTTCTTTTATGGCTTGTCTGGCTAGGAACAAGATCTATTTACCTGAGAAATACATGGAAAGAAATCATGCGTCGGGGAGCAGGATCAGGCTATTCAGCTTCTCAAGCCTGCTTTGCTGTTTAACAAGATTGTGGCTGATCGCATTAACCCTTCACGTAGGACTCCATTAAAGATTTTCTTAAAATCTAATAATACCACATCCTTTTTTCTCTCTCGTTTAATTTACTGGTTAAGCTCTTAAAAAAAACTTCTGTTGCCTCGACTGTACTCTTTCCTTTTCATAAATCCATGCTGATTTTGTGTAATCCTGTTGGTATTTTCTAAGTGTCCTGTTATCACATCCTTTATAATAGACTTCAGCATTTTCCCTACCACTGATGTGAGGCTGACTGGTCTGTAATTGTGTTTTCTTCCTCCTTTTTTTTAAACAGTGGGCTTGCATTTGTCACCCTCAAATCTGTTGGTTGTGTTGGAGAATCTACAGAATTTTGGAAGATGGCAACAGTGTGTCAAGTATTTCCATGGCTCCCATTCTTTTACGCATAACATTCCATCAGCTTTCCTAGTTACTTTCTGTACATGCATGCTAAACATTTTTGTTTCATGCACAATGGCAGCCAGATTCCCTCGTCATCAGATTGCAGCCAGTTCATACTCCTGAAAATTCATGTTTTGGGTGTAGGCTGGTAGGGAGTAGAACATACAGTGAATCATGGGAAAATAATAGTTATACTGGTGTGTCTAAACACTGACTGAAATCATTGTCATCTAAATGTTTACTTCTATTGATTTTATGCTAATTGAAGTAAAGCTAAACATTTTGTCTTTTTACTACTCTGTAATACCCATTTGTTTGGATTCAACTTCAGTCTTTTGTGCAAAGACAATGTTCCTGCAATTTGTTCGTAACTCCACAGGAGGATAAATTTGATAAAGGAAAATAAAAGCACAGAGAAAATGAAGTTTAGAGATGAATTACAGCACAAATTAATAACTTTGAGAAAAATAGTTTTGATTAACATTGTGATTTTGCTGGCAGAGCATGGTTAATAACATGTTTCTGTTTGTTCCTTTTAGAGTTCTATTGATGCTGCAACAGGTGGTATTTCACCAGTAAGAGATCTTGACCGATTGCTACAAGATATGGACATCAATCGACTTCGAGCAGTTGTGTTCAGAGATGTTGTGAGTTTCAGAGTTTGTGGTTTGTTTTAAGCTTTTTGATCATTAGTAATTTTCATGACCACCCACAGTTAAACACTAGAACTTTAAAAGATTGTGTGAAAACCCCAGACAATTTTCTAATTTCTTTTGAGGAAGAGAGCCTGACATCCGTACTTAGTTATATTTAGATGTGCCTTCATTTCCATAGTAAAGGTTGACTCTGAATTCACTGATGCTGCCTCAGGGTGCCAAGGAAGATATAATAAAAAAGACATTTTCTCTGCCAGAAAATGTTTAATAAATATTGTTTGGAAACCATTGTGTGGTGGGAAGGTTGCTTCAGATTATGTTTGTATCTCTGATGGTAAGTTAATTCAGTTTTGTGGTAAATTCATGCATTTGGTGTGTTTTATATGTTCATGGAGGTGAGAAAGAGGGAATTTTATAAACTCAAACTTTATAACTTTTATGCTGCTGTTCCTGAGTTGGTATCTTTTGCACTCATCAACTTCACTGTTGACTTTCCCCTACAATTTTACAAATTTTAGGTTACCTGAAGAAGTTAGGGATGTGATTTGTTAATCAGGAGAGGAATTAGAGTTGGGGGCAACTGTTTAGTCAGTGTGTTCAAAAAATTTTGGAACAGCAAAGTTTTAAGTATCTGACTTTCCGTAGCCTTTCTGGTGTTTGAGTATTATAGTTGGACCAGGTAAGGGTAAGAACTTGGGCTAGACTTAAGAAAGCTTCCCATCTTGGTCATGGAATTTTATCAAACATATGAGGTCTGCTCATCTCCAAATTGATGGATGTGTGAAAATGCAAGAATTGAAGGTACATTTTAAGTTCCTTGTTTGTGTCCTTATGAGTGATGAGCATAAATAATGTATGTGTATTGCTGATAGCTAGTTAAGGATGTCAGAATTTTTCCACTAGTAATTTGGATAGTACTTGGCTGCAATGGAGAAACCAGCCTTTTAGGGGAAAAAAAATAATGTAAGATTTCTTTGGACTCCTCCAGGCCTGGCCACACACAACTGTACTCCACTAGAAACTCTGTTTCACACTCTTTGGCTGCTGCCAGAATTGCTGACTTTTTCTAGCATTTGTTTTTATTTTGGGTTTTCTGAATCAATAGTTTTATGTTTTTAATGATTATAATACTGTTGATTAGTATCACTGTTAGTAACAAAGGGACCTGTCATATTTATGAAAATGGACTGATGGGACGAGGGGCATTGGGAGCATTGGGCAAATGTACCGCGTTGCTTATAGAGTAGATGGTCCAACAATATCTAAAGGAAACTGAATCCCTCTATGTATAAAGAACAGAAATAATTATGTAATTGTGTGAATAGCATCAGTAAAGAATTGGATTTGATTATTTTTCAAAATCATTCACAAATATTGTTTGTTTTTCATGCTACTATTTAAATCTGTTGAAAAGATTCTCTGCAGACTGTTTTTCTAGTTTAGAAGGAAATCAGTTACCTTAAGAATTGAAATTACACAAAGCAATTATTGTATAACTTTTATACAATAATTGCTTTGTTTATGTAATTTCTTTTATACATGGATATCTTTTATACAATAATTAGGTTTATAACTATGGATGTAGAATTCAAACATTTGATATGTGTGGTACTTAAGAAATAGCGTTAGAATCAAGCAGTTTGTGATTCAAACATTTGTTTTAATTTCAGGTGACTCGCATGTGAAATTGTCTATTTGATTTTTCTTAACTTTTGTATACTTAATTGATCCATGAACAACAGCACTATATTTAAATTGCTTTAATTCTACAGGAGGACAGCAAGCAGGCCCAGTTTCTAGCCTTGGCTGTGGTGTATTTCATCTCTGTTTTGATGGTGTCAAAATATAGGGAAATCCTAGAACCTCAGAAGGACAGAAAACTGTCGCGTAGTCAGTCTGTCAGAAGCACTGAAAATACAGATGGGACTACATCATACACAGGTTGGATTTATTAATATAGCTTGTTGTATACTTCCACATTGAAAAAATATGTGTCCTCACTAAGCATTGTGTTTCTCTTCCTGAGAAATGCTGCTTTAAGGGAAATAACTGGGAAATCAAACTGGGATTTGATGCTAAAGCCAGAGTTACATTTTCACATAAAGAGTGGTATGTATATGGATCGAGCTGCTAGAGGAAGTGGTAGAGATGAGTGCAGTTTATGACATTTACAAGATATTTGGACAGGTTCACGGATAGGAAAGATTTAGAGGGATATGGGCCAAATGCAGGCTAACAGGATTAGTTCAGTTTGGGAAACCTGGTTGGCATGGACGATTTGGGCCGATGGGTCTGCTTTCATGCTGTGACTCTGACATTCCTCTGGAGATCTTCTAGCCCAGAAAAACTAGTGTAGACGTTACAATACTGTACCATATGTATGCAGCACTGTGCATTTCCAGCTGAAATGAATTGCAATATAAAATAAGTCACTGACTATTATAAAATTTCACACAGTTGAAAAATTTAACCATGGATTGAGAACACAGCAACACTCAATTTGTTACTGAGGTTGCAGCCCTGAACCAATGCTATTCCGTGATTCACTAATGCAAATTAACATCAACGTTTGTAATATTATTTACATAATTATGGGCATTACAATCACTGGGCCTTCCATTCTGCTCTAGAAATGTTTAGTTGTCAGTGTAGTAAAAATAACTGATTAGTATATACCATGTGGGATATTCTCATTGATTCTTCTGAGTGAGACCTGAGCAATGTTAATTTCTGGGTCTAGATTGAGTTTATCTGTACTGCTTCTGCCCAAAACCAGCAGGAATAATATAAAAGCTGGAATTCAGCTTGGGTCTTTCACATTGACCTACAAGTGTGTGTCTGATGACAAGTAAATGCAGATCAAGGGTTGCTCTAAGTCTTGACATTAGATGATTCTGACGTGGGCAATATGGTGACACACAATACACAATGTAAAATTGGAAATACCAGTTTAAATCCATAAAAGAGCCCTGCTGCTCTTACCCCTCCCTCTCCCCCTCCAAAAAAATGTCCAACTGAAATAACATTAACAGATCTACATTAAATAAGGGTTACCTGCTGTTATGACACAGGGACAGCAGTCCAAACCAAATCAGACTCCCTAATTCTGAATTCGCAACACAGTAAAATTAAAACATTCGGTGACCCTCAAAATCACCCAATTGTTCCTAACCAGACTTTACAAATAATAGATTTTGGGCACCAATAAGAAAGAAACTGAAGTATATTGTTAGAATTCCCATGCTACAGGACAGACAGCTGAAGATATGACCACCAATATTGGGTCAATTAAATTGGGTGGAGGAGGGGTACTAAAGAGGTAAAATTAAATGAGTGCAGAGATCTTGGAAAGTTGTGAGGCAGGAGGAAATGTAAGATACAGGGAGGAGCCAGGCCATGATGGAATCCACGTAGGTTAGCAAGTATGGGGTGATAGAGGAACATCACTTTGCAGCAAGGTAATACATGGGCAGCAGAGTTTTGGATTATCTCATTTTTAAGAAAAGTAGAATGAGTGGCCAACCAGGATTACATTGGAATAGTCAAGTCAAGGCAACGGAAACATGAATAATAGTTTCAGCAGCAATTGAACTGAAATGAGGTTCGCTGATTTTAGAGTTGGGGATAGGTGGTTGTAATGATGTCATGAATGTGAGATCAGATGCTCAGCTTGGTATCAAATATCACCCACAAGGATGTTAACCGCTCATTCTGTAGTGCTTGCCTGCTGGAGACTGGGATTAGTAGTGTGTGTGATCGAAATCAGTCACCATGTTGAATTGAAAAGCAGAAAATGCTGGATCAGGCAGTATCTGATATAGTTTTTGAAAAAACCTTTAAATAGAAAATATGTTGCTCGAAAAATTAATTTCCCAATCGGATATAATGTGTTATGTAGCAAATTGTACACAATTATACATGTTATACAGCAAATTATAGCCATGTTTAAGTTTATTTTTAAAATCTGTTTCTCTGCTGATGTGCAGAAGGTTCATCAGCCACAGCTGTTCCAGTGGCCAGTGATGATGCCCCACATGCACTAATTCGAAGAGACTCTGGTATTGGAGAAGACCAGGTTTTAAGTTCACTTGCGGAGTTGGCAGCTAGGAATGGAGCAAGGTCTGAGATTGTCAGTGCTGGTCCAGATGCAATGAGTGAACTATTGTCAACCCTTTCCTCAGAGGTGAAGAAGTCACAGTCACAGGAAAATAAAGATGAAATTGGAAGTGATTCCGAAAGCAAGATTACATCTTCTATACCATCTGGGTCCCAAGGCAAAAATGTCAGTGTGAAGGAAATCCTACGAAGTCTGGTGAACACACCTGCAGATAGCCTTGAAGCAGATATGACACTAATAGGGCCAAACTTCTTAGGAGTTATTGGAGATGCAGCAGGAGAATCATCTATACAGTTCCGTTCTTTTGACAGGTAAATATACAGATTTTCCACTTTTTAAGGATTTTAATTTTTCAATTAAAGATGTATTTACATTCCTGCCTACATTTTTGCTTATTGTGTATGGGCAAACAATTTCAAGGAACCTGGTCTTGACAGTGTCGTTGTATTGCAGTGATATTTGACTCTTGCCCTTCAATAGTGGTTTAATGTATTTTAGTTTTTCCACTTTGTACGCACTAGGTTGAATAATACAACCAGACGAATCTGCACAGTGAATGAAGTAGGGAGAAACAAGAGTACAAGGAAACTTCAGCTCACCTGCTCATTGTCCTATTCAAATTTGGGGCCAAAAGCTACTGACAACAACTTTACCTTGCTTTGTTCCCAGTATTCACATAACTCATAGCCGACTCCTCTCTTAATTTGGGCCGTAATTCTTTATCCCCAATCCAACATCCTCTCAAAAGCCATGTACAGGAATAATTAAAGTATAGATGGAGTGGAACAGCCTGTAGTGATGTACATTACAAAAGTAATAGAGAGGATTTAAGAGTTGTTTCAATCTATTGGATGAATGAACAAAGTATTATCTCCTCTGGTTTTCTGTGAGCAATACCATAGGACAAAAATCTGTATGATGTGGTTAGTGCAACACAGACAGTGTACTTTCTTACAGGTGCAGAATATATTAACCTGTTATATACTTCTCAGCAGAAGCCGAAAACTGATGAGCTTACTTCAATATTCAAAGTTCCTTGACCAAATAATAAGTAAATTGTGAAAGATTCATGCATCTCTGTTTAACAATAAAATCTGTAACCATAAAGTGATGGAGGACTTCCAGATTCTTGGAGAAACTAAGTGATTGTCCTCCTTAAAGAAGAGAAATTTAAACAGAGATTTAATAGACGTATTTAAATTCATGAAGAATCCTGATGGAGTAAAGAAAAGTCTTTATTTAAGGAAAAATCTAGATAATTGGCAGAAAATGTTGATGGGTTTTGTTATTTTTCATGCAGTGTGCTATTTAAAAGTGCATTACTTGAAAGAGTAGTGGAAGGATGCTCAGTTCTAATATGCAGTAATGAAGTGGGTAATTCATTGAAGAAAAATTTGCAGGGCAGTGGTGAGTGTGGGACTAATTGGATAGCCGGTAAGAGCTGGTGCAAGCTTATTGGGTCAAATTGACTACTTTTCCTTTAACGTTTGGTTTCTGTGATGAATTGTTCCATAATGTAGTGGTTAAAGTCCAAATTAGATCATCAATCTTCACATAGGTAGCATGCTCCAGATCAATTTGGGTTATTCAGTACACCATTTGATCTTAGCTAGTGCAATACATTGCTTCCACTGAACAGCTAAGACCCTCAAAATTTGAATTGAGTTATGTGTGCCAACATCTTGTTGGGCTCAATGATGGCTCAGCGGTTACCACTGCTGCCTCACAGCACCAGGGACCCACGTTCAATTCCACCCTTGGGCGACTGTCTGTATGGAGTTTGGTTTTTTTGGGGTCAACTGGACTCCCAACATTGTCTACATGTCAAAACTTTTTTAAAATATAGATCACAGACATGATAATCAGAAACAGGTTGTTTGCAGACAAACAAAAGACAAACTTAAGGGGAACAAACAAATAGATTTGTTATACAGTACTTTAACTTCCTCCACTGCACATCTCTCTCAACGTTGCTCACAAATAGTTAATTGCAAAATTAGAAAAGGGAAAAAAGGCATTGGAATGGATTTAACTTTCTTTTTGTTTGGCTGTTGTTTCAGCAGTTTATAAATTGAAAGCCAGGCCCAGGAGGAGTATTTTGTCTTGCTCTGAGAGAAAATCCTCCTCCCTCTGTCATTTCCCTCCCCATTCTCTGAGCATATCTGTCTGTCTGTCTCTCCTCTCCCACCCTCTTTCCTATCCCACCTTGCATTCCCTCTCTCTTAAAGACACATCTCGAACTACTGGAGCTGCAGTGGATCCACCATCATTTTGGCCTCCGTTTTGCTTCCAACTCCATTGACGGCAGTGGCAACATCCCAATTCTTTTTTCTATATTGAGTAAGAAGGGTTTTGTAACTGCAAGTTGGATAGATCTGGGGGTCGATCATTAATAATAATAATGTTGTTTCAGTGCATCCACCCCAACATCTATTTGAAGCAGCAATCCCCCCGCCCCATAACGTCCACCCAACCTCACCAAAAGAAAACTTTAAAAGGATTGTAAAAAATTTTTAGAGGGAGAAAAAGCCTTAACTATCTATTGATTACCAAGTTTTAAAGTTCTGCTCTGAACATGATTATTTGTGTTTTTCTCTTCTTTAATTTGTGGAGTTTATTTCGCTTTCAGTTCTGCTGGCTCTCCAATGCTGCTGTCCAGTTCCTCTAATCAAAGATTTCCTTTCCTTTGTGCATATTTTTCTAATTAACCTGTTCAGAGATGTTATCTCACACCACTGGAGCAGGTGGGACTTGAACCCAGGCCTTTCGGTCCAGGTGTAGGGACACTACCACTGAACCTCAAGAAGGTCCCTCCCTCTCTCTTGTATTGGCTGCTTCTTCAATCACTGATTCTGTCTCTGAGAAGCACCAAGCGCAGGAGGGAAAGAACTTGTGATTGCTGGCACTGGAGCAGCAGTATGGAGTAGGAAGACTGAATCTGTAATTGGAGCAGTAGCTCTTTACAAGTTTGTATCTCCTATGTCTGTGGCTTCTCCAATCAAACTATGCATGTTTTCCTGCTCTGAACAAGATGACTGCATCTGTAATTGTTCAGTCATGCACCATGGAGGAGTTATAATGTGCAGTAGTATTGCAGGAGGGACCTTTTTGAATTTTTTGCCAACACCTTTGAGTTTTCTTGGGTTATTTGTGACATTTTGATGTCAAATTTGCTAGCAACTCTCATATTTTTAACTGGTTATTTATTGAAACCACTTCCATGTCATTCATTGGAGTCATAGGTATTAAATTAAGTAGTCAAGACTTATTTTTTTCCAAGTGCTTTCTCAACACAATTGGCCTCGGGCAGGTGGATGTCTTGAGACAACTGTGTTTGTCAATGATATGAATAGTACATTTGTTCTAACATAATAGCAGTAATAATAACACAGTAACACATTGGCCTAGAATTGGTTGAGCATCTTGAGTTGAATCCCGAGAGTTAGATCGTTTTCTTCACTCTTGTTCCAATTATTTTCACAGTTCAAACGATACAATCTGAGCTGAAAAATAACACAAATTACTGGGTGGTTTGTGACTTTCCACTATTAGCCTCTCAAAAAGATGGAGCTACATCTGCCCTTGAGTGGGATGAAATCACTGCACTGGACTGTAAAAACAAATTAACTCCCTGCTGAAATTTATAACAGCTGTTGAATGAAACAAAATCCTGTTAATGGTTAATCTGTTTCCAGTTACTGTCTATTCTGAAATCAGTTAGCAGTTAAATAGTTAAATATGAAGCTGAGAAGGCTGTTGTGGTGCAGTGGTAGTGTTCCTACTTCTGGGCCAGAAGGCTTGGGTTCGAGTTCCATCTATCTAACACTACTGAATAGACACATTAAAGACATGTACAAGTTAAGATAGTTTAACTAATTAAACTATTGTTTAATTACACTACATTAATTTCAGCTTGTTAGGATCAACCTTCCATTAATTTGCAAGGTATCAGTCATCACTCTGCTGTTATTTTTTCAAAAAACCTGAAATCGGTTTAAAGCATCATTTAGGTTTACTTAGTTTTAATAGTTTTTCTCTGTCTGCTAGCTCTTTTTAATTGTTCCAGAAACATTTCTCTGTAGAAAGCATACATGTAGTTTTTATGTTAATTGACTCGCAATCATGATTGTGAAGCCAAAAGAGCTCAAAAGATTTTTGAGATTACTTTTCCAGCTTTGCAACAGTCTATTCTATCTTCCATATCATCTTCAAAATTCTCAGTTACTAGCTTCCGTTTTCTCTCAAGTCCCATCTGCAAGAACTTACAAGGTGTTTTCCAGACTGTCACTACTTGCACTGTTTTTTCTTATTCTCTACTGTTTCTCTTGATTTTGCCAATCCATGGATTTTGTTGCATTTTAAGTGTTTAACCTTACCAATAGCTTTTCTTAAATGTTCTGATATTGTTACATCCCTTCATGCATTCAGTCCTTATGGAATATATATTAACTAAATAACTGGACTGACTTTGTGCAATTTGCACATGGATATGATAGCTCTGTCATGGGCATTTGAATTGCCACTATCCAGCGCTTGATTTGCCATTTTCTGTTCCTCAGGACGTGAAAAATACATGAGATTTTGAAGTGAAAGGTACTTGTGAACTTCTATCATTGAGATTTTAGAACTAATTCCAATTAATCATCAGGAATGAACCTTTACAGGTTGCCAAGTTGATCATGTCTGATTTGTACTGCTTTGCCATCAAGATCAATTACTTTACCAGGGCCTTTCTACTCCCCCAATCTATTTTTTAGGGTTATGTGAAAAAACTGAATTGCTTCAGCAAAGTGTTCAACAATGTCCTGCACTGTAGACTGGTTTGTAAAGTTAGATCACATGGGATTCAGGGAGAGCTAGCTAATTGAATACAAAATTGGCTTGAAGGTAGGCGATAGAGATGAGAAGATTGCTTTTTGGTTTATCTAAGAGATTATCTAAGAGTACAATGGGTCCTTGATCAGATGGGCCAATGGGCTGAGGAATGGCAGGGGAGTTTAATTTACATAAATTTGAGATGTTGCATTTTGGTAAGGCAAACGAGGGCAGGACTTATACAATTAATGGTAGGGCCCTGGGGAGTGTTGCCGAACAAAGAGACCTAGGGGTGCAGGTTCATAGTTCCTTGAAAATGCAATCACAGGTAGACAGGGTGATGAAGAAGGTGTTTGGTACGCTTGCCTTCATTGGTCAGTGCATTGAGTATAGGAGTTGGGAGGTCGTGTTGCGACTGTACAGGACATTGGTGAGGCCCCTGTTAAAATCCTGCATACAGTTCTGGTTGCCCTTCTATGTGAAGGAAGTTGTTTAA